ATGGTGGACTTTCTGGGCAGGAGGGGATTCTGCGCACTCACAGACCCTCATGTCTCAGGTGAGGAAGACCAGCACTACCACCTGTGCACCCTTTGCTACTAGGACTCTAGGCAAATGTGAGGAGGTGGGAGATGATCGCCACCACAGCTTGTGATACATCAGTTTTGAATAAATGGAAAGACGAAAACAAACCCAGATTAAAACAAAGAATAAGGATAACTAAGAGTTAATGAGAGAAGTAACTTTGCTAAAGTATGGCTTACAGGTGGATGTTTCGATTCTGATTCCACCCTTAGTGGCAACATCACTCTAGACAAGCTCCCTAGCCTATGAGGCTCAATTTCCTTAGCTGCACAATGGAATCAATAACTCTCATCTTTCAGAGCAATTAGTTTTGAAGACTAGAAATAATGTGTAAAAAACACTTAGCAGAGTACCTGGCACTCAAAGAATAGTAATTTAATAATTGTTATTTATGATTTGATGTCTAAATATAACTTTTTCAATAGCGCACCCTCTACCAAGCTTAAGGTTTAATTAAGAATTATATTTTTGAGCCAGCCCTGATGGCCTAGTGGTTAAAGCCCTGTGCACGCTGCTTTGGCGGCCTGGGTTCAGTTCCCGGGTGCGGAAGCACACCACTCGTCTGTCAGTAGCCATGCTGTGGTGGCAGCTCACAAAGAACGAGGGTGACTTACAACTAGAATACACAACTATGTACTGGGGCTTTAGGGAGGGTAAAAAAAGCTAAATATAATTTAGGGGAAGAAAAAGAATTCTGTTTTTTGTTTAATCCAAAAATCACTAAGTAGAAACGTGCCATTGTCTATGTTATAGTTAAGGAAGTCTATGGGTCATAGTAAATTATTCACAAGAAATTAACAACTTCATAAGGGCAGTCATCCAAACCCATACTTCAAAAAGGAGAGTGGTTGCTATAGGAGTTTGCTTGAAACAGCACACTTCGGCTGGACTCTCCTACCTGGAGCTGAGCTTCACTCTTGGGATCCAGCGGTCTCTTATAGAGCAGATGTAGATATCCAGAGTCACGATTTCTCTCATTTTGTTCTCTGGCTTCTTCAACACCAGCAAAACCCTCAAGTAAAGTTGTTTTCAGGGTACTGATATCTCCATGAAGAGACTAAAAAAGGTACAAGGATGTATTGATACAGAAAGTGGTATTTCTGAGACATAAACCTTTCTTGGGTCAAGGAAGGTGGTGTTTCTCAAATATTTAACACGATGAACATCTGAATATAGTTAGTTACAGAAAAAAAGAATTTCATTGCTTAGAAAGAAAAATACTAATGTTCATTTTTTTTTAAATTACTTTTTTCCCTCAATAAAAAAATACATATTTTAATAATCAGGAACTCAGAAAATCAGAAAAGTACTGACAGTACCAATAATCCTACTACCTGAAGACAATCACTGCTAACACCCTGGAGAACCTTCCTCTGTCCAGTATGTTCCCCAAGACCAGAGCTCTGGAGTCACACAGCCCGAACTGGGATCCTGGCACTAACACTCGGGAACCGGGTGGCTCTGGGAAAACGGCTTCACCTCTCTAAGCCTCAGTTTCCTGACTTGCAAAATCGAAGGGAGAACAGTACCCATTATACAGGCACGTTGTGAGGATTCAATGAGATAATACAGGTAAAGTAGTTCACACAGCGCCTGGCACACAGTAAGGAGCACTGATAGTAACACAGTAAATCATACTATTAACAACAAACGTCTGATATTTTTACACTATGGATACTCTTGAGTATTCTGCTTTTTTTTAAACCTAACACCTTATAATCTAACAATTTACTATAAAAGACAGTAAATTTGTTCCTGTAAATGAGCCACAATATCTTCATTAAAATCTGTTTTTACACTAAGGAAAAAAAAAAAAGATAGTAAATTTTTTAAATATACCTAAATTAACAACTATAATAAACTTTTATGGAGTAGCTTGCATGTGTCAGTGGGGTAGAAACTATTATTATTCCTTTTTCTATCTAACAACCCTAAAACCCAGAGTAGCTAGACTGACTTGACCAAAGGCACACAGTTTCTGGTCAAGTGCTGCAGGCGGGCTCTGCAGTCAGGCATTCCTAAGTGACCCACTCAGCTACACAAAAACAACAGTGGTGGTCCCTGAAGAGAGAAAGCATGGACATCCAGTACTGTGAGAACAAGTTTTTAAATTGCAATCCAATTTAGGAAGAATACAAACACAAACCTCTGTGGTCTCTTTAATCTCTAAGAGAAAGGTGTGCAAGTCATCTGCTTCTGTCCGCAGCATCTTCATCTCCTCGGACGTGCCCACTTGGAAACAGGCTTTGGAAGTTCGGGCTTTCAACTCTTCCAACTCCTTCTGAAAGTGAGCGATCTGCAGAAGCCACAAATGAGCAGACTCCTCAGTCTGAATGGCACGGCAGTAAGGGCACTGCTACTGGGCTCGCGAAAGCACAGACTCTGGGACACACCAAGGTCGCAAGCCAGAGTAAAGAGTCCCGGAGGAGTCTGCACCCAGAGCCAGCAAGCCTCTCACAGCTACTTCGGGAAACAACGTGCAGGAAGAAGTTTACCTCCTCCCCAATGCCAGCCATCACAGGATCAGACTCTTTCCATTGATGTCCCTGCTTTTCTGTGACAGGAGGCTGAAGTGATTTTGCCTGAAATGGAAGGCAAAAGGTTTAAAAATGCATCTGATACCACCAGTCACGGCTTCATGAAGCAGCTGGGTCAGTTCCCATCACAGAGAGTGGCACACTCTTCACAGTCATTGTTCCATCATTCACTCTTTTGAATCCACATTTACTGGGTATGGGCTTGGTACAAGGCATGTTCTAGACAGTGGAGACAGAGGTGAAGGAGGTAGATGAGGTCCCTCCTCTAGTGTAATTTACCTTCTGTTGGGACAAGATGGATAAGAAGTAAACAAACCAGCTAATTTCAGCTGGTGATAAACAATACGAAAAAGTAAAGAGGAACACGGAGAGAATAAAAGGGGCGCGACTTGAGATGAGACGGCAGGGAAAGCCCTCATCCGGTGCCGCCTCTGAACTGAGACCTGAAGTAAGGGGGAAGCTACAGAAAGGGCTGGGGGAAGCACCTTCTGGGCAACAAGAGCCAAGTGCAAGGAATCTGAGGCAGGAAAGACGTTCGCATGTTCTAGGCAAAGAGATAAACTAACGGTGAAGTCAGGGAGGCCGGCAGGAATGGAGCTGGAGGCAGGCAGGGGCAAGTTGTGTAAGGTTATACCGAGGAGGGTGGATTTTATTCCAAGTGTGTTGTAAAGCTACCAGCGGAGTTTTAAGAGAGTTTAAACTACTCTTTGACTCACGGTTTTAAAAGATCCCTCTTACTGCTAAATAGAGCCCAGATGACAGTGAGAGGCAGAAGAAACAGTCAGGAGGCTAACAAGGTAAGAAATGATAATGGCCTGAAACAGGACCTTAGCAGGGAAAACAGACATGGATTTATGACATAAACCACATGAGAGGAGAGCTGACAAGACTTTCTGCTAGCACGGACTGGGGGGAGGTTCTGCTAAAGAGAGAAATCCAGGATGACTTCTGGGTTTGAGGCTTGAGCAAACCTTGACCTACTTACTGAGATGGGAACACTGGAAAAGGAACAGGTTCTAGGGGACACAGAAACCAAGAATTCTGCTTTAGAGGTGTTAGAATTTGAGATGGCTTTTAAATTATTTGATATCTACAGCAATTAACATGTAGAGAGTTTTTAGACTGTATAAGCATTCACTAAAACAGCAAACATTTACTTAATAAACGCCATGTGTCATGTATTATGCCAAAAGCTAGACCTGTAGAGTGGGCATTTACTGTGTGCCCCATACGGTGTGTGCTGGGGCCAGGAGGAGGCTTGGCTGGGGGACAGAAGGAAAAGACATGACTCCTGCTCTGAAGGCACTCAAATAAGCGGGAAATTGACATAAAATTCTCTTTAAGTTAAACCATAAAAATAAACTGAGATGACAGCCTGTAGATCTAAATATGAAAAGTGAAATAACAAAGCTTTTAGAAACACAATTCATAGTGAGAAAGTATTTACGTTACGTGAGTGCGTGTGCGTGTGTATCCAAAAGGAAGTAACTCTTACAAATCAATAAGAAAAAGACAGACAACCCAATAGAAAAAGGGGTAAAAGACTTGAACAGATGCCCCATAAAAGAAGATATTCAAATGGACAATAATCATGAAAAAAAGCTCAATTTTACTGTTCATGAGGGAAATATTAATTAAAACCACAAAATACAACTACAATAAAAAGTGAACAATATCAAGATTGGTGAGGACGTGGAGCAGCGGGGCTCTCACATACTCCTGGAGGAATTTACAAAAGAGGAACACATGCGTATTCCATGACCCAGCAATTCCACTCCTAGGTACATGCCCAACAGATATGCATGCACACGTTCACCCAAAGACATCAACTAGCAAGGTCAGAGCAACACTACTCTCAATAACTTAAATCCGGAAACGACTCAAATGTCCCTCAAGGTGGAAAGAATACTTGTAGTATAGTCACTCAATGAATTCCATACAGCAAAAATGATACGGATAAATCGCACAAGCACAATGTTGAGCAAGACAGCCAGATACAAGGAAACATACGATGTGATTCCATTTTATAGGAGGTACAGACAGGCTAAACTAAGCTATGCGGTCAGCAAGCACGACAGTGAGTCCCCTCTGGCAAGAGTAGTGACTAGAAGGGTGCACATGAACAGGAATTCTGAGGTCCTGGTAATGTTCTATTTCATGATCTGGGTACTGGTTATCAAGGTGTATTCAGCTGGTGACAATTCACTGAGGGGTACATGTATCACACATGTACTTCTTTCCTATGTGTATTGTATGTCAATAAAAAACTAAATAAGTAAAATATATTGAGATGTTAAGGAAAAGCAGAGAAAAAGAAGGCAGTGGATAAGATTTCTTGGTTACTTTCGGAATGAGAGAAAAAAATCAGGTGCTACAGTCTTTCCAGATATAAAGAGAATACAACAAACTGAGCAGCATAGCATGGATAAGCTCAGGAACCAGCGGAGAAAACAACTCTAAGACTCTAGGGTGGGGACAAATGGCTTTTATGAGCACACATTACAAATATGCAAAGCTCATACTTTGGTATTTCCTATCACATGGTCCTAAATACTATTTCGAAGGTGTGAATTCTAAAACACGAAAACCCATTTTACACACATGTACGTTTGGGGAAGTAAATTAACACACACAGCACTGGAAGTGGAGTTTAAACATACCTGGGGAGAGCCCGACTTGGCCACTGGGGGGGTTATCCTAGGCGATTTCTGCACCGTTGAGGGCACTGGACTTGGACTGCCCTGAGCAGATCGCCCTGCTGGAACAAAGAGTCAGTTAAAACAGACAGTATTTATTCCCATTATTTCTTCCATCATAAATGTCCTTTCCTCAAATCTAAAAAAACATGTTTCTCATTGTCCCTGGCCCCCCTTTTAGGATCTTTGTTAGCAAAAGTGATGTCCACAGTTGTGTTAGCCTCTGTTCCAAGATAACTAAAAAACATACATTACATTTTCAGATGCGAAACTCTTTTATAAAGCAGGTAAAAGCGCAGTGTCTCTGCTAACAGCTATGTGTTTCTGTGTGCAGGCCCAGGACACTGGCCATTTGGCCCATCCTTACTCCTCACAGAGGCTCCTAAGGCATCTCTGGGAACTGGGGACAAAGTTTAAAACCACCAGACAAGAATGATAACCCCCAGAACCTTGTAAGAACTCACAGGGTCTTCAGGACCCTTCTAAAAGCCTCTAAGACAAGTTTTGCCCTGTTATGCATTAAAATCACCTAGGAAGCTTTTAAAAAACAAATACACAGGGCCGGCCCCGTGGCCGAGTGGTTAAGTTTGTGCGCTCTGCTTCAGCAGCCCAGGGTTTTGCCGGTTTGGATCCTGGGTGCAGACATGGCACCGCTCATCAGGCCATATTGAGGCGGCGTTCCACATGGCACAACCAGAAGCACTCACGATTAGAATCTACAACCATGTACCAGGGGAGCGTGGGGGTGTTGTGGGGAGAAGAAGAAGGAGGGGAAAAAAAAAGATTGGCAACAAATGTTAGCACAGGTGCCAATCTTAAAAAAAAATACCACCAAAAACTCCCACTCAACCCTCATCTCCAGAGAGCTCATTAAACTCTTAGGGAGGTGACGCCCCAATGAGTCTAGTGTGCAACTAGGATTGCAATCCAATAATCAGGACCCACCAAACTTGAAGAATTAAGTAACGGTAATGGGCGGTAGGGAGAGTTGAGTGGTGAGCAGTGGAAACGGAGAAAGTATATGCGCACTATGGTTCAAGTTTTCTCTCCCAAACTGTAAACAGATGTGAAAAGACTAAGGCAAGGCTCCTTAATTCTTTGGGTCATGGACAAATCCCTTTCAGAATCTGATGAAAAGACCTGGAATGAAGTGACTCTGGTAACTCCACACGGCAACGCTTTCTCCTGAGCAATAGGTAAGAGCTCAATGCTTGTTCAATATTCACCAAGATAAAATGACTCCTGACATTCAAACACCAAAGGGCTACCCAAATGCGTCTCGCTAGGCATTATCGCCAGCATTCATGAAAATAACCAAGTTAAAAACTGAGACGGGGCCGGCCCGGTGGTGCAGCGGTTAAGTGTGCATGTTCCGCTTTGGCAGCCCGGGGTTCGCCAGTTTGGATCCCAGGTGTGGACATGGCAAGCCGTGCTGTGGGAGGCGTCCCACATATAAAGTAGAGGAAGATGGGCATGGATGTTAGCTCAGGGCCAGTCTTCCTCAGCGAAAAGAGGAGGATTGGCAGTAGTTAGCTCAGGGCTAATCTTCCTCAAAAAAATAAAACAAAAACAAAAAACTGAGATGGATGTGGCAAACACCGCCCTAACATATGAGCAAATTAACATCACTCACGTCAGGACAAAATGAGATCATGGATGTGATACACGCCACCTACGTGTGTCACTGCCCAAAACGTTCACAATCAAATCCAAAGCGAGGCACACTCCACAAAACTACTGGCCTGACCTCTTCACAAATGTCACCGTTGAGAAAAACAAAAAAGGAGAAGATCTGTTTGAGACTGAGACCAATGAGACAAAATTGGAATATAATGTGCAGTCCTTGAGTGGAGGGGGAAAAACCATAAAGAACATTATTGGGACAACCATGGAAATGCGAATATGGGCTATCGATTACTGTTAAATTTCCCAAATGTCATAATACGTCGTGTGCCTTGTTTTTAGGAGATAGACACTGAAGAATTTAGAGGTGAACTGCTTCACATCTGCAATTAACTCTCAAATGTTTTAGGAAAAAAAATGCAGAAAAAAAGAAAGAGATGAAGTAAATGGTGCAAAATGTTAGCAAATGTCGCCATCTCGGTGAAGAGCACAGCATTCATTACTGCAAGTTTGAAAGGAAAATAAAAGATAAACTAGATACAGTTGCTCATTTAATTCAACTTGGCTATAATAATGATTTCCATATATGATCTTCATTTAAGAAGCTTGTTTACAGTAGTTCTGAACGTGAAAATCCAGCCAGTCCCCAGCAGCAGTCAGCAGAGCAGCCTCTGCAGGCCCGCTCTCTCCTATGCAGCTTGAACAATCGTTCTATCACTGCCCTTCATGCAGGGCAGGCTCCACAGGAAGATACTGCCTTGGAATCATCAAGTACTCTCAGCTGCGCGAGAAACGTCAGAGAGACAAGTGTGGCAGCACTGAGGTCATTCTGAACGCTCCCAACTCAGAGTATGAAAATCACAGCACATTAGTGTGAGATACAGAAAGCAAGAAAAAACAATCTAGTCCAGCTATGTGAGCTGGGATTCTCAACAATTGAAAATGTTCATCTGAGGATTCAAGACTGAGCTCTGAAGGTGTTTGCTTAAAGTCATACCTGCTGCTGAGGGAGAGACTGACGACTTTGACGACATGGAAGTGGACGATGCTGAGGGAGGTGCAGGGTGGCCAGGAGGTCCAGAAGGAGCCGGCTTGGAGGCAGAGGAGAAGGGCACCATGGATGGTGTGCTCTGCGAGCTATTAACGGGAGCGGAGGTGGCCACAGCAGTAAACCTGAAAACAGCGGCCCGAAGGGGACAGAGGAGCCCGTGAGAGTTGCTCACACTGGTCAGGAGCCATGGCATCAAACGACAACTTGCTATCCATGCTTTTCGGCCTTTGTGAAACATAAACGTTTAGCCATTTCTTATAAAAGGTGTAAGGAAACATTTATCTTACCGTCTGCTTATTTAGGAACGAGTTATTCAACAAAAATTATAAATAAGTACTTAATATGAAGATAAACTAAGTTTACCATGATATGAAATGCTTATTTCCTATTCTATCAAGCTAAGTAGGAAAAAAGAGGGTGGGACTCAATTATGCTTAGGAGCGTTTAGGACCCTCTTTTCACCAAGAAAACTGCTGAGAATTCATTTTCGGGTGACCACCTCCTCTAAGGGTGAGAAAGGAAAAGGAAAGCAGGTCACCATCTTGGGGATGCTTACAGCCTAGTGGGAATGAAAGGTAAGTTTCACCTAATAAGCAAAAAATCTGTACACAATCTAGAAATCCAGCATTAGACAGCTGGTCAAATAAATTACAGTGCAGCCACAAAATGGAATACCAGGCAACTGTTAGAATCAAGTGACTGTGTGACAATTTAATATTAAGTGACAACGGCAGTGGCGGAGCAACAATCAGCACACGTCCACAGCAAGAAGAGACAGTAGAGATGAATCAGGGAGAAAGCTGGTAGTGTTTACACTCAATGGTTACCTTGGGAAGGCTTACAAGATACAAGGGATTATGTCCCTCAAGAAACTACATTTTACGGGGCCTGCCTGGTGGCGCAGCGGTTAAGTACACATGTTCCACTTCAGCGGCCCGGGGTTCGCCAGTTTGGATCCCAGGTGTGGACACGGCACCACCTGGCAAGCCATGCTGTGGCAGGCGTCCCACATATAAAGTAGAGGAAGATGGGCATGGATGTTAGCTCAGGGCCAGTCTTCCTCAGCAAAAAAAAAAAAAAAAAAAAAAAAAAAGAGGATTGGCAGCAGATGTTAGCTCAGGGCTAATTTTCCTCAAAAAAAAAAAGAAAGAAAGAAAGAAAAAAACTACATTCTAGGGCCAGCCCCATGGCTGAGTGGTTAAGTTCACATGCTCTGCTTTGGTGGCCCAGGGTTTCGCAGGTTCAGATCCTGGGCACAGACCTAGCACTGCTCATCAAGCCATGCTGAGGTGGTGTCCCACATGCCACAACTAGAAGGACCCACAACAACAATAAAATATACAATAAAAATATATACAACTGTGTACCAGGGGGCTTTGGGGAGAAGAAGGAAAAATAAAATCTTTAAAAAAAACAAAGAAACTATATTCTAGTGGGAGAACATGACAAGCAGATAAAGAAGTAAAAAATAAAATCTGAGCTGGCAGGACCCAGATCTAGAGGAGACTGGAAGACTGCTGAAGAGTTTGGATTGTACTCAAAGAGCAAAGAGAAGCTGGGGACTGCCAAGCAAGACAGTCACCTGGTGTGCCTGCAATTTCACGAGACCATTTTGGTGGCTGAGTAGAAATGGTTCAGAGAAGAGTCAAGGGTGGACACCAAAGGAAAAAGGACTACAGGAGATTCACTTCCCTTACGGGACACATACTCGGTATTGTTTCATTTTTAAAAATAAAGAATATCTCCTACATTTGAAATCTGAAAAAAATAAAACAAGCACTTGAATATAAACTTCTAGGGAGGAGGACAGAAGGGGAAATAGGGCACACGTACGGTCACGAACGGTAACTAGTCTTGGGGTGGTGAACACGATGTCTACAGAGAAAATATGATGATGCACACTTGAAATTTACATAATGTTATAAACCAACGTTCCATCAATAAAAAAGCAAAACAAATAATAATAATAATTACATATCTATGTTTCTTCAATAACTGTACAAATGTACCATAGTGATGTAAGATGTTAGGGGAAATTAAGTGTGAGCGGGAACTCTCTGTAATATCTTCCCAATTTTTCTGCAAATCTAAAACCATTCTAAAAGATAATGTCGTGTTTTAAAAGGCAAAAAAATAAAGAGGGCTGGCCCAGTGGTGTAGTGGTCAAGTTTGTGTGCTCTGCTTCAGCAGCCCAGGGCTCACAGGTTCGGATCCCAGGGGCAAACCTAGCAACGCTCATCAAGCCATGCTGTGGTGGCATCCCATGTAAAGTAGAGGAAGACTGGCACAGATGTTAGCTCAGGGCCAATCTTCTTGACCAAATAAATAAACAAAAAGAACAAATAAACTTTTTTTTTTTTTTAAAGATTGGCACCTGAGCCAACAACTGTTACCAATCTTTTTTTTTGCTTTTTCTCCCCAAATTCCCCCAGTACACAGTTGTATATTTTAGTTGTGGGTCCTTCTAGTTGTGGCATGTGGGATGCCACCTCAGGGTGGCCTGACGAGTGGTGCCATGTCCATGTCCGGGATCCGAACCAGCGAAACCCTGGGCAGCCGAAGCAGAGCATGCAAACTTAACCACTCAGCCACGGGGCCAGTCCCTAAACTTCTAATAGTGAAAAAAAAAAATTCTAAGAGACTCTTGTGGACTCTGTCCACTGAAGAAAGGCAAACCTTTTACATTGTTTGAATTTTTGCCATTTACAAATATTACTAAGAATAAAAGAGAAAATCTATTAACTCCCCTCACAGTGACTCCTTCCAGTGAAACACGTGCTCTCTACCCACCCTGCAGAAGCAGCAAACATTATGTGTCACTTACTTTTCGCTAAGGTTGACCTTGACTGTAGAGGGCGGTGGTGGGAAGGAGGGCTTCATGCCTATGTTTGGAGCTGACACATTTGGCAGTGGCGTGCTTTCCAGGGTAGGCTTAAAACTCGATGATCCAAAGGAGAATGACGCAGCTGATGATGCCAAGGGAGAGGCTGCAGGGGTCGGGGCTAGGGAGGCTTGAGAAGGAGGAGCAAAAGAGAAGATGGATGCACCAGAGCCCAGGGCTGCTTTGGAATTGTCAGAGCCACTGGAATATGGAGGGGGCTCCCCAGTGACGGAGCCAGATGATTTCAAGGACGAAGAACCAAAGGAGAACACGGCAGGGGCTCCAACAGCAGAAGGCAAAGAGAAGGTGGAGGTGGGAGCAGCCAGCGATGAAGGTGCAACAGAGACAGGAGCTGCAGCTGCTGAAGCATCGAGCTTCTGCGGGGCCTGAGAGGAGGTTGGGGTAGAAGGAGTACTTCCTGCAATGGAAAACATGGAGAAAAAGGAAGAGAGAAGTTAGCATTGTAACAGCGGCGATCCATATAACAGAAAGCAAATGGAAAAGGGTTTGTGGTAGAATGACGTCAGAAATAATGGTCCTTACTGACAGACAATAATATACAAATGAAGTTTCACAAGATTGTAACCTATCATTGACTCAATAAAAAATTTAAAAAAAAAAAAGATGATCGGCAAAAAAAAAAAAGAAATAATGGTCCTTAGTTCAAGAACAAAAGAAATAAAAGCAGAGTTGACATTGGACTTGGGATATAAGATGTATAAAACTTTGAAGGAAAAAGGCAATGGAGAAAAACATTACACAGAACTTCATGGACACCCAGTGGAGTAATACAGAAAAAATACACTTCTCAATGTTACAGTGAAAAATAAGTCATTCTGCAACATTTCAGTAACAATCAGGGAAAGAATTTTAATTCTGACCTCCACCTCCTAAGAGTCACTAAAAGCAATTCCAGATGAATTAAAGATATACACATAAACAAAAGCACAGATATACACACACCTCAAAACAAAGGTGGCAAAAAGTGAGGTCAGTCTCTGAGAGTCAAACAACTTGATAAACTCAGAAGTGAACAAAAGAAAAAGATTAAGATGTGACTGTGTGCAAAAACTGTTACATAACTAAAAGGTAAATGAAATTTTAAAAATCTGCAGCAGGCGGCCGGCCCCGTGGCCGAGTGGTTAAGTTCGAGTGCTCGGCTTCAAATCCTGGGCGCAGATGTAGTACCACTCATCAAGCCATGCTGAGGTGGCGTCCCACATGCCACAACTAGAAGGACCCACAACTAAAAAATACACAACTATGTACCAGGGAGCTTTGGGGAGAAAAGGGAAAAAAAATAAAGAAAAATAAAAATCTCGAGAAAATAATAAGTAATATTTTATTTTTTTAAAAAGCTCACACAAATTAAGATTAAAAAATTTCAAGGGGCTGGTCCAGTGGTGCAGTGGTTAAGTTCACACACTCCGCTTCAGTGGCCCAGGCTTTGCTGGCTCAGATCCTGGGTGCAGACCCACACACTGCTTATCAAGCCATGCTATGGCAGGCATCCCACATAGAAAGTAGAGGCAGATGGGCATGGATGTTAGCTCAGGGCCAATCTTTCTCAGCAAACCAAAAGGAGAATTGGTGGTGGATGTTAGTTAGCTCAGGGCTAATCTTCATAAAGAAAAAAAATTAATAAAAACAAACAAAAATTACAAGACTTTAATGGACATAAACTGGGAACCTAATTCACAAAAAGAAAACTGATTCAATCTCTCTACTGAAAGAAATGTAAATTTAAATGAGGCATAGTTTTTACTGTCCTCTAAAATATCAAAATTTAAATATGTATAATCCCCTATGTTTGAAAGGATAAAATGAACCTGAAATAGTTTTTTTGATGAGGAAGACTGGCCCTGAGCTAAAATCCATTGCCAATCCTCCCCTTTTTGCTTGAGAAAAACTGTTAGTGAGCTAACATCTGTGCCAATCTTCCTCTATTTTGTATGTGGGATGCTGCCACAGCATGGCTTGATGAATGGCATGCAGGTCCGTGCCCGGGATCCAAACCTGCAAACCCCAGGCCACAGAAGTGGAGCACATGGACTTGACCACTACACCACTGGGCCAGCCCCAGAACCTGAAACTTTTTATCACTAGTAGGTACCTAATTTAGCACAGTCTTTCAGAAAATATTTTAGCATTATGTCTCAAAGATCATAAAAAATGGACCCAGTAATCCCAATTCTAAGAATAAAGCCTATGAAAATAACCTAAAAAATGAAAAAGAGATTTAATACAACCCAAATGGTAAAAAAAATATTCAATGGAGTATTAAGCAGTCACTCTTTTAAACGAATCATGAAGATTATGCAAGAACCTGGAAAACGCTTACAATTTAAATTAAAACTTGCATACCAATTATGTATACAATATGATTACAAGTATGAAGAAAGCTGTTTAGGAAAAAAAACACTGGCAGAGAATACCCCAAAAGGCAGGTTTAAAATTTTTTCTATTTTCCAAATACTCTATAAAGTAAAAATGACAATTCTTAAATAACTAAATATATAAGAAAGCAGTATTTTTATCAATACATTTCATTAATGGGTTTTGTTTCTTCCAAATTGTCTGAGATGACAGTTTATCTTCACTATGTCTAAAGCAATGAAATACTTAGGATACAAGTATGAAAATACCACCTTCTGAAAAGAAAGACCCAAGTAAATTGTTGCTTCTATGGAAGTATAATAATGCAAGCAAATCTATTCTGTTAATATTTCTTTCATAGAATATGGAACCACGAACAGCTAACTTCTGTAAAGACACAAAGATGCACACGTTAATCACTTTCACGCACATTTAGCAGACCAAGAGGAAAAATACACGCCAGAGCTGAAAGAAACCAGAGGCATTTTCCACTGAAAACAGAACTAATTAAAAAGCCATGGTGCTATTTCTGATCTTTCAACCCAGCACCCTTAGAGCTGTAGGGTGGAAATGGGCAGAACAATTAATGTCTTCTGAACCCACGACCCAGGCTTTAGCTAGAGCTAGGAACTGGTGGAACACTTTCTCCCCCACTCAGTGGCTTTCTTCCACTCATCTCAACATGGCCATTACCTCCGGACCAAGAGTGAGGGAAGAGGGGGCTTCTCCAGGAAAAGCAAACAGTAACACTGGCCTCTGTGCTCGGGGGTTTAACGAGCTGGTAGCAAAGTCTCTCACATGAACTGCGCTCTGAAACAAACATCACTCCACAGCCTCCTGACTTCACTGTTTGTTACCGACAGACCAGGCAACTGGATGTAGGTAGTTCATGGTACTCAGGACCATATAAGGAGAAAAAAAAACACCATTCAAAGAGGACACACCCTGTAGATAATGAGATATCCCAACACAACAACAGTGCCACAGTCTATGCAAGGCACCTGATCTATTACTTGGGGTCACACTGCCAGCTGGCAGGGGCCCAAGTATCCAAGTGGCTCTATTTATGATATGATATGCACAGTGACAATTCACTCTGCATCAAGAAGCAGCGGGAAAAGATACCCTAAGTAGGGTCAACCTTATCCAACTCAACTGGTCAACATATTTTTCCTTAGATATGGAATTGGTTACACTGTGACCTTTTTTAGCCATTTCAGAAGAAGAAAATCTTACTAGTTTTATCCCAACAGAATTCAAAAAGAGACATATTAGTGAAATTCCAAAATATGAAACAATGCCCTTTTAAAAAGTTTTATATTTTGTTCTCACAAGTGACACACTGTCACTGTGAAAATTTTGAAACTACAAATTGGCATGTATATGTGTGCGTTTATGAGCATGAAGAACATGTACCAAAATGTTGACTGGCCATTGCTTGATGACTGATGGGCTCTTACACGATTTTGTTCTTGCGTTTTCTAATTTTCCTCCAATAAACATATATTACTTAAGTAATATTTTCAAAGAGGGGGTAAAAAACCTAAAGAAAATTAAATACAGATAAACAAAAAGAAAATCCCCACGTCCCCACCACCCAGCAATAACCACTATTTATATTATAATATTCATCTTCCAAATATTTTTTCTATATATATATTTTTTCTCATAAAAAAGGAATCACACAGTATACAGTGCTTTTTCATGATATATCATACTCTTTCCTTGTCAATAAACATAACATTTTTAAGAATTCCATGGCATTTCACTATATGAATCTATAATCATTTATTTAATCCCTCATGATTAAACACGTCTCTATGTCTTTAGGATTCAGACCATACAATATAAGGTCTTCTAATAGGACACTGTTGATAAATTACCTGATGGGAGCCATCTGGCTGAGCCGTCTTTTTCTCTCAAGTAAAGGTCAGAGAAGAACGTGTGGGGGTGAAGGAAGGCCAGCGTGCGTATGTGCGCTCGAGGACAAGATTAGCCCTGCCTCATGAAGAGAGACTGGCCAGATACGGATGACCACGTGTCCTTACACAGTTCTCATCCTTGGGGAGACCCCTGAACAAGCCCCTGGTATTCCCTCTCTGCCAAAGCGAGAACAGGCACGTACCTGATGACTTGGGTTGTCGCTCTCCTTCCAAGGACAGCCGCTCTGGTGTCTTCATGAGGGACCTAACCCCAGGATTTTGATTGATCATATAAAATGGACAAAGCACACCATCTGTTGAAAGCAACATAAGAACTGGAGCAGGAGGAAGAGTCTTGTCATCATCTGTTAAAAAAGAAAAAGTGACAAAAGAGCCAAGTCAACTGAAGGGTCTGGGCCCGGAAGGGAAAGACTGCCCCGAGCGGGAAGGGGCGTACTGGACTCACTCCAGCAGAAGTGACGCCAGTGTGCTCTGATTCAGATATCAACAGCCCTCCGGGAAACGGCTCTTTAAACGGAGCTCCGGCCATTATCAGATGGCCGCCACCCTGCGAGTGCTGCATGGAAGCTCCAGCAGTCCTGCACGGCTTGACTCTCTCAACGCTCCCTCAATTTGTACACGTGTCTCGGTGTTCAGGAGGTAGTTTCAGTGTTCCCCTGACCAAGACCGGAGTCTCAAGGAAGTGGCTGGTTTAGTAAAAAATGAGACTAGACTCTAGAAAATACACAGTAGGACACAGAAAAGTGAGTCAAACTGCTTCACTCACAGTTGAATCATAAGCATATATTTTGTTAATTAACACTTCAAGAGAATCAGAGTAAATGAGCTGATCAGACCAAATAACCTGACCAGAGAAAGGACAGGGAGTTTAAGGGTGCCTGACAGGGACACCCCTCTAAACTGAAGCATCAAAGAGTAAAGAATATGTCTTCCGTTGCAGTTGCACATTTCAGACTGCAGCTCTGCCAAGGTTTAGCAGGGAGAAGAAATACTTAGAGCACACACTTGGGCCCAACTGGGAAGACATGCGTTTGAGTCTCCATTTTCTAATCTATGCCTTCAAACCAAGTATTGGTATGCAGTATCTGATTAGGATGTTATTCCCTTGGGAGGTCATTGGGGAAGTGGAATGGGCAAGGAAGCAAAGCTATGAAATTCTGATGTTGTATATTTCAGTCATATTCTAAAGCACACACAAAGACACAGACACAGACAGACAGACACACACACACACACAAACACACGGGGTTGTATGGCCTTGGTCTAATCAATGAGTATTCATTCAAGTACGATTAGTGTCGTCACAACGCACTTTATATCAGTCTTCAAGCAGAAATGTGCTACTGGAAGTTAAAAGTACCCAGCAAAGGGGCTGGCCCCGTGGCCGAGTGGTTAAGTTCGCGCGCTCAGCTGCAGGTGGCCCAGTGTTTCATTGGTTCGAATCCTGGGCGTGGACATGGCACTGCTCATCAGACCACGCTGAGGCAGCGTCCCACATGCCACAACTAGAAGGACCCACAACAAAATATACAACTATGTACCGGGGGGCTTTGGGGAGAAAAAGAAGAAAAATAAAATCTTAAAAAAAAAAAAAAAGTACCCAGCAAAGTAGATTGTCATGACAATGCAGAAGTGGATTTAAATATTAACAATGATCGGGAGGAAGACCATTTCGGCACTAAGCTACACCAGGCTACACTTACTGATGGTGATTTCCACTTGGTTAGTGTAATCTATGGCAACTCCCATGGGCAAGGAATCATCACTCTTGTCTGTCACAGGCAGTTCAGCTCGACTAGAATCCTCCAGGAGCCAAGATTCCCAATTAATCTGGAAAAAATAACAAGCAGTAGAAGAAGAAAATGCCATATTGATTAGAGCTCTGCACTGATTCTTCCGAGCACTGTTCAAATAGGAGAGAAGAAAAAAGTCAACTCACTTGCTTTAGAGCTATGTTTTGACTGAGACTCTGAAGTCTAGGAAGACAGTCTAAAAGCCATGAGTATCCCAGCAAGGGAGGGGTTAAATTTCCAAATCAACCTATCTATCCCCAGTACACCAAGTCCCCGCCCTGTAAAAACACAACCACTATCGTGAACACCTTCTGAGGTGCTGTCCACCACGACCTGGGAGATTCCTGAACATGCTAAGTAAATCCAACAGCGGCCCTAGGTCAGGGAATCTCTGCTCCTAGAAAGCTGGGACTGGGACCAGGAAGTCCAGTTGATCTCTCCCACGGTCTTGAGCAGAGCCGCTTATAAAGCTGGCCAGATGCCCAGTGCTTGCTTGTCCACGGGGACAGAAGGTAACCTTAGGTCTTAGTTCCTGGTGTCAGTTCCTCACATTGGTCATCCTCCTACTCCTGGATTCCTTGAGACACCACTAACTCTTTTCAAAAGCTCCCCTTTGGCTTAAGTTTGCTTAAGTGGGCTCTGTTCCTTCTAAGAGATGATCATCGATTTTTAAAAAATCACTAACATTTGTCTAGTTTTCAGTGTTAACCAAAACTGGGCAGCACAAATCAAAGGGGAATAGTACTCAGTGAGTAACAAAGAGAAAAACAAAAACCTGCTCAGAAAAGGGAACACCATCAAACTCCCCAACTGAGCTATGGAGTGAAGAATAATAGTGAAGTTCATAACAACGCAAACAAAAGTGATTTCAACTTTGAAAACAGTCTGTAGACAAGATGAAGACTCGATCATCACTACAGAACAGAACACACACAGTGCTGGTTTCAATTTTATAAAAGACAAGACAGATGACAACAGCTGGAAGGCGGCAGTGGGGCAGGTGTGCTACAGGCAGGGGTGGGGGTGCGAAGACACTCCTTTCACAAAGTGGAAGATCAGAGATAGTGTATACGGTGACACCATGAGAAAGGAAGGTAAGAAATATTAAAGTAGAAGGGTAACCAATAGAAGAAACCACCACAATGTAGAACCCTACTGGGAGGAAGGAGGGGGATCTGAAGGCACATGGGAGCTAAATCCTCCAACAGCCAAGAAAGTCTAAAATTAATAATGATAAGTAAAACGAATAATTATTTAGGGATAAGGAGGTAACCATTAAAAGAAAAAGTTTACAAGTTAAAATGGTCCCCTTTAGAGAACAGGACTCGATCAGGACAGGGCAGAGGGGATTTTTCCATTTATAAACCCTTCTCTACTATTGGATTTTTTAACTATATAAATTACCTTGATAAAAAGCAAAAATAAAGGTATATTTTTAATGTGTGATACATAAAATATTTGTGCAATTAGGAAACTGTTACTGAAATCAATCCAAGAGCAGCAAATCGGACTGACCTCTGGCCTTTAACCCCAAAATGGCCCACTCTAGACACTGCCAGAGCCATGCACTTCTGGCAGGCCACCTTGCCGCCCAGAGAATGATGGACAAATGTGCAACGGTTCAAGAGGCCTAAGTATCTGTGCAGTGCACAGAACATTTTTAAACTCAAGGCAGACTCTTAAAAACAAGAGTTTCCCTTTCAGCCTGTCTCCTCTGCAGTCACTCTGCATAATCCACCGTGCTTCAGGATGGCTTACCCGACCACCCCAGCCCACCCACTGCCTGCAAGGAGGACAAAGTGACAGAAGGAAAGCAGGTGTTTATATGCAGGTGCTTTTAGCCTTCTGGCAATTTCTCAAAGTCAAACAGAAAGTATTTCTCATGAGTCACAATTTGGTTTGATATGCATGTTTCTCTTCCATAATCAAGGATGGGTTATAGTTGATTGAATAGAAGGGGCAGGTTCAAGTAACAGGAAGAAAATAAAGATGGTAAAACAGAACAAGGCAACAAAAAGTCTCCTGCACATCCAGGTATACTCCTGTCAGAGGCTGATTACATAGTATGTTTCCACAGACCGTGGATGGACCGTAACAGAACAGAAGGGCTTTTCACCACACTGAGGGAACTGCTAAATCTGACACGTGTGTTTGTCCCATGCAACATCCAAGCCATTTGGCCCAAGGCTCTTTGTCATTTAAGCTTTGCTCTCATCCAGGAGCTCATTAAAAGGGATGTGACCTCATTTAAACCTTAACCACAGAGTTAACTCCATCCAAAGTCTTTCTCAGGAAAGTATCACATAAACAAAACAGAAGAGAAAAATGTACCTGGTCACTTTGTCGAGCAAGGATACTAACTTCTGTTGAAGCCGCCGAGGCTGCCAGCACTAAATCCCTTCAAAGAATAAAACCAGAAGATTCATTAAATTCCAACAACAACAGTTCTAACTTGACTTGAGTCTGTGCTAAGATCTCTGAGGATTTTCTCAAGATGTCAAAGAGGAAGGTAAAGTTTTCTATCTGGCCAAACAAAGCTGAGAAGATTTTAGATACAAAGCTTAACTTCTCAGTTCATAGGATAAAGCCCTGGAGACTCGGCCAACTGTCTACCTTCTTAAGACAGAGGAGAGACACAACAGAACCAAGGCGGAATTTCCGGCAAGCACACCACCCTGTAAGCAGAATAATCTGGTCAGAAGAACAGGAGCTTGACTTCAGGTCACTAGCTTCCAAAGGGAAACTTCTGCTCTCAGAGGGAAAAGTTTTAACACGTTCCTTAAACATCAGTATTTTCCTGTCATTGCTCGGGTTATTGAGAAAATGGGTACATATTCAATCTAAATAATTCAAAATTGGGAAAATAGTAGTAGTAGTCAGCAGAGAACAGATTGGTGGTTACCAGAGGAGAAGGAGGTGGGAGGAGGGCGAGAAGGGTAAAGGGGCGCACATGCACGGTTACAGACAGCAACTAGACTTCTGGTGGTGAACACGATGCAAACTATACAGAAGATGAAATATAATGATGTACATCTGAAATTTATATAATGTTTAACCAAAGGGACCTCAATTAAAAGAAAAAAAGAAGTATTAGTTATAAAAGCATCATCTAGCCTCAGCTGAAAGTATGTTTAGGCCGGCTATTCTCCTTACAGAAAAAATTTCAAAGTGGGAACAAAGTGACTCAGGCGTCCCCGCCCTGGGCCCCCAGCTCACCACTCTTCAACATAGCTGAGGTAGTAATGGTGCTGCCTCTCCGCGCAGCTGCCGTAGCAGGGCTCCATGAAGTTCACGAACACCTCTGGGTGCTTGTCTTCTTTTTTCTACAAGGAATAGAATGAGAAAAAAAGTCTTGTGTTATTAACTAGCACGTTCATTAGAACGTAAGATCCACAAAAGCAGGGACTTCACGTTGGTCACCTCTATAGTCACAGCTTTAAAGCAGTGCCTATCACACTGCAGGCGTTTGATAAATATCTGATGGAGAAACAAGTGGAAGAACTTTAAAAATCAAGATATGAAGGGGTACATTTATATGGTGACTGACAAATAATAATGTACAACTGAAAAAAAAAAATCAAGATGTGTTCTTGCTTTTCTATAATTTCTTTCTCAGGTTAACATGTACCAAGACACACTTTACAGCTTAAGCAAAAACAAGTTTTGTAATTTTTTTCACCTCATAACTAAACAGTAGAACATGTTTTCAGTGGACACAATAATTTCAGTCCTTAGGCCCATGATGCAACATTAAAACCTGACATCTGAAGTTGTACCATCACTGCCAGTAAGAAAAGGAAACTGATGCCTAAGCTTCAAACTTTATCAAAAGAATTTTATAAGGGGCTGGCTCAGTGGCATAGTGGTTAAATTTGCGCGCTCTGCTTCTGCAGCCTGGGGTTTGCGGGTTCAGATCCTGGGCACAGACCTACACACTGCTCACCAAGCCATGCTGTGGCAGTATCCAACACACAAAACAGAGGAAGACTGGCAGAGATGTTAGCTCAGGGCCAATCTTCCTCACACACACACAAAAAACTTCTATAATCTCAAAGAACAAAAATGTCCCTTTCATATACATACCGGAAGTAAAGCCATCACCACGTCTGGAGAAGTCTCCAAGGTCCCATCTGCAGCGGCATACACTATCGTGAAGACATATGTACCAATCCACAGCACATCCAGAACTGAAAGACACACACTCCAATAAAGCATTTTGTGTTTGGAATAGCCCCTGTAGTTATAAATTAATACCCTATGCACAAAAAACTCAGAGCACTACAGCTTTTACAAAGGTCCAGATCTCACTGACTAAATATAATTCACAGACACAGAGACTCGAGAAGCCCAAACTCATCCCAAAGTGGTATTTTTTTCTGGTGGATTATAATCAGGGAAATGATGAAGAATCCTAATACCAGGATTCATTTAATGTCCTTTACCATGAGACACAGGCATCTCCCAGAGGATTAGTGTTACAACAACTTAATTAGCTAACTCAAGTAATGAGAGTATTCACACAGAAGGCACAACACCTCCCTGAGCAGGTACGTAGGTACGTCACGTGACAGAAAAACCTGTAATATAGACGGGGCCTCAATAGAGGTCAGCCCAGCAAGAAAAGCAGATGTATTACCTCGGACGGGATGATCTGATTCATAAAACGGAGGACAAGGAATGACTTTTTTTTCCTGTAAAGTCTGAAAGAGATTTGAAAGAAAAAGTGTCAAATGAAATAATTCCTAAAGCAATGAAACTGTCAAATCCAATACGTTCCCCTAGAAGCCACCTCTCTCTCATCTCCAGCCACAAGAGACAGAACAGAGGAGAGTGAATGAGTACTTCTAGGACCCTTTCCTACAGAAATACTCACATGAACGTGTTCGGATGTAGGTAACGAGGATGCTCAATGCAATACCATTTACAGTGACAAAACTACTCACACTGATACAGATAACCATCAACAAGAGAAAAGGAAATTACGGCTCATTCACACAGCGGACTACTAGGCAGCCATTCAAAAGAACAAAGCGGCTCTATATGCAATGAGTTGGAAAAAGAACTCCAATATACTATTAAGTTAAAAAAAAAAAGGGCAAACATCAAACCAATAAAATTAAACCAACCGTATTACTGGTTTACAGGCTAATGCCCTAAAAGAATATGTACCAAATTTCACATAAGACCTTTTTGCAATGACAGACAAGAAAACCTTAACCTCAAAGCTCCACCCCCACAGTGAGCCTGTGGCCCCACGGGGAGCAGTCTCTGGAGGAGGAAAGCACAACACCGGCCTTGGCAGTGCCTGTGAACCCCCGCTTCCCACCAGGCTTGACTGGATACGGACCGACTCTTTGTCAACTTACATCACAGAACATCTGTGACCCTTATCCCAGGAAGACCTGAGGGAGAGGCCGACAGAGCGGACGTGCAACAACAGGAGCAGTCACTTCCTCTTTTGCCTATAGAGAAACTGAACCTTTAAGGCGGACTCAGCCAGAGGATGAATAACACTGGGCTTTACCCCGGAGTGATTCCACATTAAAGTACTAGCCTTTTCACTAACTCCTTTCCCCCTGAAGCTCTGTCTTTATGGAATGGATTGGGAGTATCAAGTCGGGGAGCCGTGTGTAGAATATGATCACATTTTATTTAAAAAGCAAAACAAAAATAATGCATCCACATGTAGACTATTTGCATAAGCATCCAGAAAAGTCTGGAAGGCTACCACTAAACAGAACACAGAGGGTGCATCTGCAAGGAGGACTACGGGGCAGAAGGGAAGAGCTCTGCTCTTTCCTGCATTTGCCTGTGTTCTGATGGATTTGTTGCAATCAGCAGAAACTACAATTTAATAGAAAAAAACACCAAAGGTACTTCCAAACCACCCCAAAAAATAGTGGGTAACTTAAGTAAGAAAAGTTCTAAAGTCCGAGGCAAGACTTACAGGAAGATACTGGACCACAGTTCCATTCTGCTTTCCCACAGCCAGCTGCTTTCCCTTGGGGCTCCAGCACACTGAGCAAAGAAGAGAATGCTGCCAATTAAAAACTGAAGAACACGGAGCTAAGCAATGAGATCTGCACCACAACAGCTACATAATCACCACTTCTTGTCCCTGTGTCAGTCCAAGGAAAGCTGTAGGATCACCCCTACTCGGCAAAGTAAAAAAAGAAAAATCATTTTGACAATACAATCCAATAATGGTGCATCACTGGGCCACTGAATCAACGGCTAAAAACGTTCCTGCAACGGAGTATTGCCCTCAAAGCTGGAAAGTACAGAAAACTCCAGTCTTCAGACAAGATGACAACAGAGAAGGTTTTCAAGTATCAAGAGATCATTCTCTTGCTCCCATTTGAGATTTCTAATGCTTTTCCCCCAAGGAACAAATGTCTTTCAGAGTACGACCCTTTAGATGCAGAAACAAGTATTCTTAAAAACATAGTTCTAAATCAGCTATACCAAAATATTTCTCTCTCTAGAAAATCCAAGCACGTTCAAGTTAAAGCATGTACGCTATCTGGCTTCAAAGACATTAACTACAGAAATAAATAATACGCTCCCCTTCTACTAAACAACAAATACAACAAAAAACCCCATTTGCTTTTATTTCCAGAAATTAATTTTTAAATAGATTACCATTACCATATGTTATAGAGTGAAAGCTTTTATTACCCACCAGACGTTACTGCCACTGTGGAAGGAAGAGTCGCACACACTTTCACTGTTTCTGTGACTTGCAGGACAGCGATGCTGCCATCGGCCAGACAAACTGCCACCATAGAGGGAACAGTGGGGTTCCACTTCATATCGATTACCATGCCTCCTGCATCTTTCAAAAGCTTATGATAGGCAAATGGGCGTTTCTGCTGTTTAGCCTTTTAAGACAAATGCCAAGAAGCAAATATAAATTAATAAATACACAGATACATTAATAGTCAAAGAAAATTACTGAATATGCAAGTTTTCTCAAATTACAGTTCACTTTTCCCCATAACCATGAAAATAAAATTTAGCTCTACACAACCACCTATTTCTTACAGACAATTTCAGCACAATTTTGAAAATGGCAATTACTCTAGCACACTCGAAGGGCTCTCAGCAGGAAATACACAAATGTAAAATAATCAATAAAGAATAGACACTAGATTAAAATCTTGGCTCTGCTTCTTAATAGTGTTGGGCCCTTGGACTGTTACTTAAACTCTTTGGGCCTGTTTCTCCACCTGTAAAGTGAAGACAACAGTACCTGCTGCGAAAGGCTGTGGTAGGCACGCACAAGGGCAAGGCGCGGAAAGCACCAGCATATGGCCTGGCCCAGAGTCAGCAAAAGACACGATAATATTGCTGCTCTCACTATTAAACTGCTCGGCATGGAAGAACACTGCCTCAGGAGGCCAGAGACCCAGGACTAGAACTCCTGACATTATCTACCACTCCATGGCCCTGGGCAAGTCCCCTAAGGCTCCCTGGGCTTTGGCTGTCTCACATGTAACTGAGAAATGATAACACCTCGGTCAGGTGGCACTGTGCAAGAATTTCTCAAAGTCCCTTCTATCTCAGAGATCTATGATTGTATACTTAAGGACTTTTTTAAAACCCAAATTTTAATCTAGAAAAAGACTTGAGGGTCCACCAAGAACTCCTAGGTTATGATTCAACACTAGGAAATCTTCTTAGGACCCATACTGACACTACAGTTTGCCAGTAGCTTACCTCATTGGAGAATGTGCGAACATCAAAAAAAGCGATAATGGAACCATATTCACTGGACATCATACACACGGAGAGGGTGAGGTTATCACAGCTCAGGGCCAGGTGATGTATCGGGAATTTCATAGGCACTAGCAAGCTTTGAACTTTATCAACTATGAGAACATAAAAAAAGACAAAGCAGAAAATGGGATTTTCAAAGCATAAGCCACAACCCCTCTATTCAGATCTACGTGAGACAATTTTTGCATCTACATAAACATCCGCACACATGCTGATACCTGGTTAGGCCGATAAATCTTAGCTTCCTGACCGACGTATAAGGCGTCAAGTATCCCAGGGACTCTTCCTCATACGACCTGGGGAAACTAACTATGGCTGTTGCCCTTGTTGAAAATAGCGTCCTGTACCCAGATTTTTGCAACAATGGCCTAAACAGTACATACTCCCATTTGTTTGGATGGTACTGGTCTGTCAACTAAAAGCCATGCAACAAAACCCTTCTCCCAGAGAGCCAGAACTCGAGTTCAACTGAGCAAAAATAAAAGCATGGCAGGATGGTAAATTCTTCCCTGAGCTCACAGGAACAACTCATCGAAAGAGAACTACGAAGCACCAAAGAGAACACCCAGAAAGCCCTCCAGCATCCTACCTACAACTTCTTCTCCTAGGGAGGCAACCTGAGGACTAACAGCAGTTTTAATTTCAATATTAGAACGATTTTCTTGGGAAGGCAAACTACATTAGCACTTCACTACACTCCTCTATTACAACACGAAGCAAGTAACTTACCTATCTTATTGGGATCGTCTCCAGGTTTATTTTGAATAAGGAGATTTTTAGTAGGAAAAATCTGCAACCCACTGGCTCCACCAGCGAAGACCAGACCGTATTTGTTGGACACGGCAAGTAGACTCGAGCGTTCCTTGGGCAACTCCTCAGGAGAGTCAAAGATTCTCACCTTCTTGAGAGCTCTAAACTGAAAATCCTGTTGTGAGGGATCAAAACAAGATCAATTCAGGGAAAACAGGAAATTTAATGTCTGTCATTAGATTCCAGTAGACCCAATTCCAGCGCAACAAAAATATGTACTACCCTGAGGCCAAGAACTGTGCAGCTCAATCATTTTTAAGCTTCCTGGGCCTACTGTGGTGCTTGGCACAGTGCTTGTTACTATTTATTGAATGAAACAAAATTTTCAAAATTCCTTCATTAAGCCTGCCTTGACTAATCCAGCTCACACTGATCTTTTCCTTTTATGAATTCCTAATTTATTGCCTTAAACCACCACACAAGTTGCACTTTATTATCTATAATCTTGTCCTATTTTATGGTATGTATTGTCTCGTGATCCAGAGTGATGCTTAATAAATCGTTGTTCAATATTGAAGCATCAGCCAACCACGCTATAAGCTGGACGTTTCCGCGCAGCACTCAACAAACATGGATACGGAAAAAACGACCACAGAAAGAACCAAACCCAAGAACAGGCTTGCCTGCATCAAGTGCTCAACAAAATTCCATCACACAAAAGGATACGTATGGTCAATCTCTCGGTGGTCAAGTCCTATAAACACACCTAGATACTCAAGGACATCTAAACACAAGGTCAGCACCCTTAACACAGGCTCTAAGGCCAGGAATGGCTCGACCCACCTGCCTCTGGAGCCTCGCTTCACAACATTCTGCGTCCCTCCCACAAGGGCGCCATCACCTCTGCCCCGCCTCCACCCCCACCCACTTCCAGTTTCCATTTCCTTCCATTTTTAAGCTTCTTAACATCTCGGGGTCTGGGAGCTTTCCCAGACCTGTCAGTGCCTGACTCAGCTAGTCTTCCATGAATTTATCTGTACGCTTTCAAAGACAACTTTCAGTGCGTACCCCCTCTTGGTAAAAGAGTTCCATAAGTTTACCAGTCACTACGTTAAGTTGTACTATATACAGCGTTTCTTCTCTTCAATTCCAAACCTATCTTCAAGTCAAGGTTTTGGTGAGAAGAATGTGAACCCACTTTTGCTTACATTCCAAAAGTGTAAAAGCCAAAGGCAGCCTTTCTCAGCCTGCCTTTTTGTATTTATGGTGCTTCATACAGGATCCCTAATGTACCCCATAAACTAATTTCCTTGGATTTGATGTTGAATACATATTTGCTAAAAAATTAAATGAAAAGCTCTTCTTAATTCCAACTGAGAATGGTGACCAGAAATTCACAGCTTTCTGGCTGAGACCATACTAGGTTTCATACAGTAGAATAAAATTTTCAGTCTCTGTCATTCTCATCCTGATAATCCCAAATATCCATCCTGTTAGGGTCCCAGTCACAGGTGTATGGAGAGCCAGTGGGAGGAAGAGGCAGAGGAGAGCTCTCCTTTCTGTTATAATCAGTAACTCAAACGGAGACTATCATCTTCTAAGTCTGTGGTTCTAAAATCTTTTTTTCCTTCTGCCCCAGCACATGTGGGGAAATTCCACACTCACACTGGGTGGCTCACCCCAGCACTGATTCTCAGAAGGAACAGAGAATCACCACTCTAAATACGGTATGGATTACTACTCTCAACGCATTTCAGTGATTTGTTGTTCAAACGCGACTCTTCCTGCAACTTACTCCCTTTCAGGTGTTGATAACCGTCATTTGGATCACCTGCCCTGCCCCTCTTTTTGGTTTCCTGACTTTAGGCTGATTCCCAGTACCAACAGTCCTCTTATTCCAGTTAACTAAAGGTTTTGTAGGACTGGTGACGAACCCTGGCTCTGCGTTATGCAAGCCTGGACCACCTTACAGTAGTACCGTGGGAGTGAAGAAGACAGTCTTTGAAAAAAAAAAACAAACCCTAGATTTCAGCCCCTTTGTCACGTGACTTTGAGTAAGTTCTCTTCCGAGCCTCGCTTTGCTTCTCTATATCAACAACTACTTCGTGGAGCTGCTGGATGATCACCACAGTGCCCCGCACACAGTAAACGCTCCATAAACAGCAGTCACCACCACTCCTCCGACCAACACGCGAGAGGAACTGGGCAACTCCAGGGGCGCGCACAAGACCAGCAAGGGGCGGGGAAACGGCGCCCGCGGGGCTGCCACGCCGGCGGCACGGCAGAGTGCTGCGGGCCGCGCTGGTGACAACCCTGAACGCAGCAAACTGTTCAAGCGGGAGGCGGGGCAGAACCCGCGCTTCGCCATTCAGCGGGGCTCCAAGGCGACGCCGCGGCTAAGGAAGAAAGGGAGGCCCTGGCCAGTCTCTGACCTTCATCTCCCGCTCGGGGATCATGGCATCCATCTCGTCGCCCATCGTGCCGCCCTCAGGTGGTCGAAGCAGCCCCCGATGCCGCCCGCGGCCTTGCCCACACAGCCCAGGCCGCCCGGAGGCCAACTTCCTTCCCTCAGCTTTAGCGGCGCGCGGCGAACCCCACATTTCCGGCGCGCTTCGTTGACATCACGCGTTTCCGTCCGCGGTTTGGCGGGGGCGGGTCGTTGCGCGCTCTCCCGGCTCGGCCGATAAGGGGGCGTGGCCCTGGAGCCCGCGCGCCTGCGCCGGGAGCGTCCACGTGCCGCCCCTGCGTTCACGCTGAGAGCCGGCTCGCTCGGTGTCGGTTTCATTCATTGGGCGGCGCCCGCCCGAGCGTTGCACGCTCGTGGTTCGGTTGAGCCTTCACAGCAACCCCAGGATGTAGGTAGTTATTAATAGTTCCCGGTTCAGAGAAGTTAGGAACTTGACAAATATTTACAGGGGCAGCTCTTGAGAGAGGGTGGAGGAAAGAGGTTCAGAAAGGGCTTGGGGTGGGGCTTGTCCCGATGTCTGAGCAGGGAGGCTGAGAGGGGAGGTTAAAGGGCACCAAAGATCAGCTTTGCTTGCTCCTTTCAAGGTTGTGATTTACAGAGCAAGACCCTGGAAACTGCGCAAAACACTTTAGATGTGATATTTAATCTTCAAGACATCCTAGTCATCTAGGAGTATTATTGCCATTTAATTGATGAAGTAACTGGAAGCATAGAGAAGTTAAGAAAATTCCCCAGTGCCCGTCAGTCAGAAACTGGTGGAGATAGGCTTAGAATTCAGCTTTTCTGGATATGCTGATTACTATTTTTTTTACACAGTCCTACGTAGAGGTTTTTGTAGTGGAATTATATTATAAATGCTCTAGAACACATTCTTAACTTGGAGCCCCTGGGTCAGCTCCATATTCTGCCACTTACTGTTCAGTTTTCAGCAAATTGCTCCTTTGCTCCAAGCCTGCTTCTCATTTCTAAGACAAGGATTGGTATACTAGGACCTGGCTCATGGGGTTGTGAGGAGCAAATGAAGTTCAGTATTTAACAGAGCCTGGGACACAGGACACGTTCATTCAGTCTATTACTATATTAGCTAGCTCTTCTGAATTTGCTGAGCCCCGGAACCATCCCCAAAATACACCAGTGAAGACACTGATAAGTTTGTCTGTTTTATTTCCAGTCTGTAGAGATGATATCCAGCACCACACACACACACACACACACACGCATACTGCATCCACCTCAACTTGCCCAACACACTTCCTTTTGAGTTGCAGGGACAAAGCCATACCTGGCAGTCCCCAAGTTGCTGGTTACATCAGTTAGATTTGGTGTTTCAGAAGGAAGACAGCTGAAGTTCTAAAAAGCTGAGCCCTTAGCCAGAGAAGTAAGAGTCCTAGAGCCAATAGCCACAACCTGAAATACACGCAGACCCCCCTTTCCAGGGACCACTCTTGAGATCCTCTCCCTCCAGGGGCTGAGTTCTAAGAAATGGTGAAGGAAATGGTAAGGGTTCCCAGGACACCCCTGTCCAATGAGAGAACTCTCTTTCCTGCTGTTTCCAGAAGCTGGAGACACACTCACTTGCTCTCCTCCCTTAAGGAGTCTTCCTGCAGTCTTGTCAACTGTGGAACCCACTGAAATAAGCCCTCCTTTCTGAGCGGTGGACAGGTACAGACTAGAATGGGTAGTCAAGGAAGGCTTTACCTTGCTTAAAGGTCTCAGAGAGGTGAGGTGGTGGGAAGGGGCGGGGACAGGCAGTTGCTCATGTAAGGATCTCAGGAGAAAAAAACAACCAAGGCAGGGGACGGGGTGGGGTGCAATTTTACATTTAGAGGAAGGAATGTTTTGCTGGGGTTTAAACTTCAATGGAAGCAGCTCCTTAGGCTGAAGATCAGCCAGTCATAGCCAAATAATCTTGCTCCTGAACTGGTTGAGACCAGCAGATTAACCCAACCTGGCCATTTCTCCATCCCCTACCGGCTCCACACCTTCAAGCTGGGCTCTTGATTATGGGTCACTAAGGAGCTTCAGGGAACCCACACTGGTTCCAACAGCCCTTTGCACTTAAGGTTTTGCGAAGGCTTTCCCAAGACTCTAGCCCAGTGCAGGGCCCAGCTGGGCCCCCTAGAATTGCAGTGCAGTCAGCCCATATCCCCCTCTTTCCTAACGTTCATCTCACTCATCATCGTCTAGGTCTGACTTCGCCACGGGACGCTAAATTCCATGAGTCTGTCCATTTCATTACTGGGTTCTTAGCTCTTGGCCCATAGCAGGCACTTAATAAATATGGTCAATGGATGAGTGCATCTATGTCCTGAGCGGGCAGGATAAGGGACTCCAAAACACAGGTGGGGTCAAGGCTGGGGTCTCTGCTCAGCCAAGATGGGGCTGAGTGTGACACCTTCCTGTGTGAGTTCTGAGACGTAGCTTGGCCGAGAAGCTCTAGGGAAGGCAAAATTGCAAAGGCAGGCCTGGCCCTTTCCCAAACCCTGATGCTGACTCAGAGGCACTGGGAAGGGTGAGTCCTGGCCTGGGCCTTCCCCAGGTATTGACCTGGGAGTGTGCCCCTCCCTGCCCCTTCCCTTGTTTTCCTCCCTGACTGAGGCAGCCGAGAGCAGAGATGAAGCATGGGCAGGGCATCTTCCATGCCAGATTGACCCCTGAGCTTGGGCAAGGCACTTAATCCCTGTGGACCACCAGTTTTCTCAGCTGTGAAATGAGAGGACTGGCTCAGATAACGTACAGGGTGGATCTGGGCTCTAAAACCCTGTGAGTCTATAATAAAGGACACAGTGACCCCAATCCAATCCTCAAGATCAAGGTTTTAGGCAATTTGGAAACAGAGAGATGAGTAAGAGACAGTGGACACAGCACATGTCAGGACAAAGTGGGGGGACTTAAAGCTTATAATAGATGGTCAATAAATATCTGTTGAGTGAATGAAGGAATGAATGAAGGGTGTGAGTACGATGGGAAGGCAAATGAGGGAAGTGCAGTCAGGTTTCAAGCAGATTGGGATCAGAAAGGCAACCTCCTATTTCTGAGCTCTTGGCTTAACAGTGGTGCTAACTCTTTTTGCCATGAGCATTTTAATCCCCATTCTCCTATCCTGTTGCCCCCAGCATCCTTCCTAAAATGTGGGACTAGACTGAGCTGACGCCCTCAAGGCCCCTGACCTCCCCTCTACCTCCGAAGCCCTTTGCTGCCCCAGCAAGGGCTGGCAGGCTGCCCCTCCCTCTGAGTTGCCTGTAAAGGTGTGGCCAGGGGGCAAGCCAGAGGATTCCTTCCTGAACCTTCTTGAAGGGCTCAAGTTGCCAAGCCCCTCTCCTTCTCTCCTCTCACCTCATTGAGGACGAGAAAAAGCGTGGACTGAGGGGGAATCGGCTGGGGAGGGGGCCACCGAGTGGCCACGTTCTGGACAACCCAAGAGGGCTGGAACCACAGAGCTGTCCAAGGAAAGCCTAACGGGGCCCTGCAGCCTTGTCCCTACTCCAGGGTCTCCTCAAAGTGGGCTGAGGTCCTCACCAGGGCCAGGCCAGCAAGCCTGGACTTGGCTCAGAGACCTCCTGGAAGGATGGACAGTGCCGGCTTGCAGCGTGGGGATCACAGGCTTCCAGTCTCCCTGTCCCGGCCCTGCCCCTCTGGTTTTTGGTTTGATATCAGCCCCTCTGCACAGGGAGAGGGGAAGGAGGAGAGAAGAGAGGGAGGGGACCCAAGGCTCAGGATTCCCCAACCCAGAGCTCCTTAAGGCAGATAATTTGTGCTTTACAAAGAGATCACTGATTCTGCCAATGGCCGGCGGGGAGGGGGGGGGGGGGGGG